AACATACAGTAATGTCAAACAGAATCAATTGATAGCTAAATCCCAAAAGGGTCAAATAAATAATCAAAATTAGAAGCAATAGAGGAAGAATAAGAGGGAGAGAAAGAATTGTTAGGCAAAGAAAATATGTCGCTATAGTTAACGTCATGTTTTTTTCTGTCATAATGTAATTTTATCAATATGTACTCGATTGAGAAAAAAATCATTTTGAATTAGTTTAAGTTCTTCACCGTAGTTAAAATAAGAATGAATAATATGCTAAATTGATATTCATATGAAGTAAATGGTACTCCTGTTAGATATTTGCAGCTTCACTGAAGTTATTTTCAAAAATGTTGGCTGATCTATTGGTCATTTTTGGTCCTCGTTTTTTAACCGATTTAGCATAAATACACTTAAGTCCATGGAATGCACAATATATGCAAGTAGCTTCTTCAAAACACTTTTTGTCAGCAATTACAGAATTAGTACATGCCATAGTCGCGTAAGGGCCTCGTTATTGTCCACTTGAATGAGGCATGATCAACCAATGTATTTTACGAATAAATATTAGAGGAATGAATATTAAATAAAGAGAATTGCTATTTTCACCACCACTTTTGCTAATCCTACCCCAAATATCAAAAAGTGCTCCGGAAGAGGTATTTCATTAAGTAAATCCTTATTTTGATCTTAATAAAAGTTGTTCCTAAGATATATATGTCCGAAGTTAGTTATCTTATATTTACTTTTTTAAAAAAAAAACTATTGGTCCGGAAAGGCCTGATGAACAACTTTTATTAAGATCAAAACAAGAGTTTACTTAGTAAAAATACCTCTTCCAGAGCACTTTTTTAAAATTTGGTGTGGGATTAGCAAAAGTGGGGGGTGAAAATAGTAACTCTTTAAATAAATTTATCAATAAACTCTAACGATAGTCAAAAAAAATTGCTCTGATAGTTATGATTAAAAAATGATTCATTTGATACAAAGAGAAAGAAGTAAAGCTCTAAAATATGATAAAAGACATGGATACCTTCATATTTATATGTAAAAAAAGCGGTTTATGGTATGATGCCATTAAATTTACTTAAGAAATTCTTGGTATGTTTGATTTCAAATAGTTAATCCATTGGACTTCAACTTCCAAATTCGACACACGAGTTAATCTCGATAAACCCAAAATTATCGTTGGAATACGAGTTACAGCCGTTCTTATAAATTCTGAGACAACTGATAAAAATTGTTTCGGCCGAATTTGATAAGTTTTTGAATTCGGTGTTATCAGCATTGGTTTTGGCATTACAGCAATGTCGGTAACACCGAATTCAAAAGCTATCGAATTCGGCCGAATGAGCATCAGCCAATTTTTATTATTGTAATCCATAAACTATAAAACTTAAATTCGGCTATTATTAGGGATAGACAAGTCCAGTTCAGTTCGTCCGGTCCTAAAAAGACCGGTCTATTAATTTTTTCAGTCCAGTTTCGGTCCCAATAACGGTCCTTAATTATTTAATCTTATTGGCTAGCGGAGAAAATCAAATCATATGACGTCGGTAATT